GACAGACTATGAACAGCTGAGCCATGGGCAGGACACAGGAAGGTAATTCTATAAAATGCCAGCCCTGATCTTTAAGAGTTATAGTCTCTATGATAAAACTGTGATGACAAATGTAAACCAAGAAAGGAAGCATGTCTGTAGAATGCAGAAAATCCTATCCATGCTGATGTATGCTAGATATTCTCCATATGCCCCTCCAGGTCCATTCGCTAGCCTTCTCCATCCTGTTTTGTCTCAGGAGTCTGACCTTTATGGGCTGCACTAACTCGGCTCCCTGGCTCTTTAGATTTGGCCAACAGAAAGCACAAGCTAGAGATAAAAAAGCAGAAGGAGAGAGAGGTTGGGACATTTACTCTCCTGTTTTCCTCCCTGCTGGGACATGGGTTGACAGTGGCTGTCCACAGTTCCTGTTTAGGGGTCCTCTCTTACACCTACAAGTCTTACCAGGTTCTAATAACCACTCCCTCTTCTTTTACCCTTTTCCCACGTTGCTAACCCTGGGTGCCTCACCATCCCTTAATAGTTTCCCTCAAATTCGCCAAATCCATCTAAACAAGCCACTATTACAACGTCTTTTAAAAAATCCTGTGTCTCAGCTGGAAGCATTCCAAGAAGAAATGCATTGCTGGCATCAGGGACATCGTCCCCTGGGGCTTCAGTCCTCTTTGGCTCCTGGACACACAGTTCCCTATAGTGCAGTAAGAAATTGGCTAATTAGCCTGTGGCGGTTCCTCCCTGACCCAGAAGCTTGGGGACTTTGTTTCGGTCCTCTCATTGGTAATTAAAACGGTATCTTTTTGCTCATTCTTCTGGAGCTTTTTAAGGAACGTGAACATCTGGAGATGAGCTGAGGCCGTAGATATTTCTTCTTTACATTTGGGCACTAAGTCTCCTGAAGAGACGCTGAGGAGTTGGGCAGCAGTCTGGAGCACAAGGTGAGGTCACAAATGACAAGGTCAGAAGAGCTGGAAATCTGCACTTGACAATGGATTTGCCTGTGTACCTGTGAGTTTATAGATGAGACTCTGTGTGTACTTTGTATCTGACTCACAGCCTGACTCTTTTCCTGAGTTAGATCAAATCTGGGCTCTGCTTTAGTGTGTGTAGACCAAGTTACCAGCCTCCAAGCATGTGACTAGAGACTCCTGATTCATGCCTGCGATCTTAAATATCTGCATCATAGCCAAGCGATGAGAGCTGAATGTCTGGAGTGAGACTGTTGTCTCAGCTGCTGGAAGAGAAGAGGCTTGACCTCACCAAGGAAACGAGGTCAGAGAGGTCTTGAACTTCTGCTCAGCAGCACGTGCACGTGCGAGCTGTTTGTGGGTGACACACTCGTGTGTCAGAGCAGGAAAGTGTATGGTTTGGTTTTATCTGTGTGTATGTTACCACGGGCATGGGTTGTTGGTGGTGGTTTAATGACTGTGCCTTTGACTGAATAGGCTTAATCGCCCCATGCTGACTGCCTTCCCCTGAGAAGGGGATGGATCTGAAGTAATGAAAGTGTGTGTGCTGCTTGTTATTGTGAGTGAGTGGCTGGGTGTGCAGGTGTGTTTGTGGGTGTCCATGGATTTAATTCCATGACATCAATTATTTTCTTAAGCACCGTCCTTCTGGGGCACCATTGGCCGAGAGAGCCAAACTCCAAGCATCTCCCTGTTTCCTGACAGGATCTGCTATCATTTTCATGTATCTGAGTGTGACTGAGTTGTTCAGAGTTTTGCAACCCCTTCCTTTCATTAAACATCCCAGGCAAAAAACAAACAAACAAAACTCCAGGCATCATGCTGGGTGAAGTTACTGGGCACAATCAACATCGATGAGTGGTGAGACCTCGGGAAAGTTACTGAACTACTTGGCTTCAGTTTTTACATGTATGAAATGGCAGGAATTTTACTTGCCTTGCAAAACCTACGGAGGCCCTCAATAAATAATTCCTGTAAAAATGGAAGTGAATGCATTTGAGACTTCTTCTGTCAGTTGGAAAGTATATTAGCATGAAGGAATGAAATTATCTAGGCAGGGGACTAAGAAAATTTTGGACAACTTTGGGCTCTCACGGCTCTAAAATAGTATATTGTGCTTGACTCCCCTAACCAACAAAAGAGAAGTTTCATGTGTAGTGATTAAGAGTATGGGCTCTTATCACACAGACGTATTAGATTGCACCCCATGAAGTAGCTAATACTTGGTAATTTTTAACTTATAGAAGATGGTAATACATAGATATCAATTTACACATATTATATGTCACATATATTATAAATACAGAAATAGACACGTGTGTGTGTGTGTGCGCCATTCTGTCCCCTACTGAACTGTTGTGTGCCTGTGGAATTTGTATCATTCAGGTTTCTATTTCTTAAAAGCTAAAATACAAAAATGAAAGAACACAAATTCTTAATGCAGCTGTGAAGAGGTTTTAAAATCTGGGAATGTAAGGCGGATGGGTGGATTTAATTAGGAAACGTACGTAAAGTCCTTAGCCTAGTACCCAAATGTTCACCATTATTATGAAATACGGTTTGTGGATATCGTGATTTGGGAACTATTCTGGCTTTAAATGAGCACCCACTTCTAGAGTGTCCATGAGTTTACAGCTGGCAGGTTCACAGGTGTATAAAAATGCTCCAGGCTCAGCTCTGGAGTCTCAGGGTGCTTTAAAGCAGAAACAATGGATACTAGTTCACCGAGGCTCATCTACTATTTCTGCCACAGTGAGTTATTATGGTTGGGCTCTGGCCTGACGTCTGATATATCCCTCCACACTCATCAAGATCTACACTCACAAAACGCAGGGACCGTGCCTTGTTCAGTGCTGACTCTCAGTCCTTATTCAGTGTTGACTCTCAGTCCTTAGAGGCCCTGATACAGACCCGAAGTTCAATGAGTAATGGCCAAATGAGACAGTGAACGACCTCTTGCTTCTGTGCAATGAGGTCTTGTTGGCTGCTCTGGGGTGTGATGTTTTCCTGGAGCCACATTGGGATAGAGTGAAGATGCATGCATCCACAGGTGTGAGAAATTAACAAGAGTGTAATTAAAAATGCGTGATTTTCCCAAAGAAGTATAGTATGAGATGGGTTGGTCCTGGTCACCCTTTTAAGGTCTGTGAGATTCCCAAACTTTCTTCACCCCCAGAAGAAAGAAGGATTGCATGAGGAGGGAGGACTATGCAAACCTCCAGGTCACAGCTTCTCCTCTTCTCCGTACTGAGCATTTTTCCAGCCACCTCTTTCACAGATGGTGCTGACTAAACTAAGGCGCCGTTTCTGTATTGTTTCCTTCCCTTCAAGTTGCAGCTCCGCAGTGTTATTAGGGATCGTCTCTCCTGGGTCTCCTCCTGGAGATGTCTGAGTTCCTGGGTTACCTACTGAGATGACCTACCCGGTCAGATACTTACACAACAAAGTGAATGTCAAGCTCCTTTCTTAAGCATATGGGTATTTTAACATTTAACTTTGGTTTATCCCTTCTACCACCCATGGAAAGAGATGGAGAGATTCTCTCGTGAAAATTATCAGAAAAACTACCTTTGAGATAAGGTTCCACCATGCGATATCTATGTGAAATTCTGTAAGCAATTTCACTGCTTGTGTTTGTAAATGAAAGAAAAAAAATCACTATTTTCTCTACTTCCCAGACACAAATAAACATTGATGAATTGAATGAACTTGAAGGTTTACGAAAGCCGTTTGCAAACTAAAGGGTTATAGGACTATGAGTGGTGACAGCTATCTGAGCAGGGGGATGCTTTCAAATCCTGAAATAATATTTCTTAAGGTGTTGGCTCTGTTGTCTAATTAAAGAGAGGGAGAAACAGTAGGGTCGTAGCAGCAGAGATTTGAGGAAATTTAAAAAACGTGAGAGAATTGTGAGTACAACAGTTACTGTGTGATGTCATGATAGTTCTCATTCTTTCTGAGTATGTCCATAACAAAGCTTTAATAACATCCTTATCCTAGGACTATTGAAGATTCAGGAGGCAATAATGCAAAAATGTGTTTGTCTGACATAGTGTTCATTAAATGTCCAGTATTACAAGCGTGATAATTAGTGTTGGGAAATAGTGATGGTCAACCAGGTAACTGTGAATTCTAATAGACACCTCCCAATCACTGGCATCCCCAGTTCTCAGATCTCAGGTCTCAGGTGGCTTTCATTCTACTTATTTCTGAGCCAACTTGAAGCACCAGATATAAACGGAGACATATGAAATGAAGTACGTTTTATATCTTGGCAAAAGATGAACTTGCACTAAGACAAGTTCCATCAGATTTACCCCAATGATAGGATATGAGCTCGGAAACTCCTCTTGAGAATGTGAGAACTCTGATGAGTTAGCGGAAACTTTAGGTCATATGTGCTGACCATCTCCTAATGTTGTTTTAATAAATTTCTGAACTTGATCCTGGTTTTATTTGGATACTTATCCTGGTGTAAAAGCAATGGCTAAAATTTTGTGTGTTTATTTTATTCAGGACACTCTCCTTAGATATTCACGTGTATTGAATTAGAATCCTCCTATTAAATGTGAACGTGTGCTATTTGGTATCTTCACACTACGGTGAACAAGATGAAGCCAAGAGAGGCGTGGCTCCCTAAGTCATCAGCTAGAAAGAGGTGGGGCCAGAATCACAGCACTACCCTGGCTGCAGATCCATAGTTTGGTCAGCCCTCTGTAAGTTCCTCCCTGGAGGGTCAGCATGACGAGGGAAGAGGTCCTCTGTGTCTCACTTGTTCTTGTATCTCCAATTAGTATTATAACGCCAGGAACCTGGTTGATTGGAAGAATAAGAAGAATGCATTTATTGGGAAGACATCATGTAGGGCATTGAGGGTGTTGCTTGCTTTAGCAGCACTAGCTGACGATATATGTTCAAGCAGTTATTCTTTTTCTCCAGGAGAAAATAAGAGTCCCTATTGTGGTGGCCATAATGAGACTTTCAAAGTCTCTGATAATTTCCTACTCCCTTCATTCCTGCAGACAGAGGAGCAGCATGAGGAGGGAGAACCAGAGCAGCGTGTCCGGCTTCCTCCTCCAGGGGCTCCCCATCCGGCCGGAGCAGCAGGGCGTGTTCTTCGCCCTGTTCCTGGGCATGTACCTGACCACGCTGCTGGGGAACCTGCTCATCATCCTGCTCATCAGGCTGGACTCTCGCCTCCACACGCCCATGTACTTCTTCCTCAGCCACTTGGCCTTCACTGATGTCTCCTTTGCATCTGTCACTGTCCCAAAGATGTTGAGGGACATGCATACTAAGTACAAATTCATCCCCTATGCGGGGTGCATTTTACAGATGTATTTTTTCATAGTTTTTGGCTGTCTTGACAGTCTCCTTCTTGCAGTGATGGCATATGACAGGTACGTGGCCATCTGTCACCCTCTACGCTATACCACCATCATGAGGGAGGGGCTGTGTGTGCTGCTGGTGGCTGGTTCCTGGCTTGTCTCTTGTGGCACTGCCCTCTTGCACACCCTCCTCCTGGCCAAACTGTCCTTCTTTCCTGACAATATTATTCCCCAATTCTTCTGTGACCTTCCCCTCCTACTCAAGCTGTCCTGCTCAAATACCTCTGTCAATGAGATGGTCGTATTAATCGTAGTGGCTGTGCTTGGCATTATTCCATTGAGTGGTATATTGGTCTCTTATGGCCGTATTGGGGCCTCTATCCTGAGAGTCCCCTCTACCACAGGGCTCCGCAAAGCTTTGTCCACATGTGGCTCCCACCTCTCTGTGGTGTCTCTCTTCTATGGAACAGTTCTAGCACTGTATTATTCCTCTTCATTAAGTGATTCCAATGACAAATCTATGACTGCCTCTCTGATGTATACAGCAGTGACTCCCATGTTAAACCCCTTTATTTACAGCCTAAGGAACAGAGACATAAAATTGGCTCTGGGGATTCTTTTCAGAAACAACATCCTAGTCACCAAGTGAGAATCACCTAACCGTGTTCTTATTTCACCCACGGGCTTTGTCATATAGACCTTCTCAAAAACTTGCATGTCTATCACCTATGTCGCCAGCACCCTCCCAAGTGTTCTTCATGGGCAGTTTCGTTATTGGATCTACTCCCTTCCACATTAGTCATATCCATTGTCCATTTATTTTTCCATCATTCTAAATATGGCATTGCCCACAACACATGTTTATCTTGTAGTCTTCAAAGCACCAAACTAGTTATCAGTCAAGTGTACGATTCACAATTCTAAATGGGTTGCATTTTGCTTTATCTTCCTGGATAGCGAGGAGACTTGCTAAGATACAGAACACACTAATCACCTCTCAAAAGGAAAAAGACACCAGCATTTTACATTCTCTTTTTAAAGATAAAAGCGGTTTTGCTTTAAGACATGATTACAGATCCGAAATGTGATGGTATTTTGGATTAAGTTGGACTTTCTCACACCTGATTTTCTGACCCCAGGTGGTAACTGGTCAGAATTCTCGGTGCTTTAGTATGTTTCACTTTGTCTTTAATGAAATAAAGATTTGTACCTTTAAACAGAGCCAGTTTAAGTTTTATTGAACGTTTTTTTATTATTATTATTATTTATGCCTAAGCACCCAGTCTTCCTAGATGTAATGAACCAATGAGACCTAGATGTAATGAGAACTAGATGGTCTCCAAATCAAGTACTAACAAGGCTCGACCCTGCTTAACTTCCGATATCAGATATTGGGCTTGTTCAGGGTGGCATGGCCGTAGATCAAGGACCGTGGCTCCACTAGGGCGTGAACCCAGGACCTTCTGCGTGTAAAGCAGATATATAACCACCACACTATGGAACCACGTCCGTGGAATTTGTTTTGATAGGTAAAAAAAAAAACCCCTCCTCAACAATAGGTGATATAGCTTTCAATAATAACTCACAGTTTCTACCCATTAATGTAAATGAGGTATAAATCAGCTCCTTATTTACTCTTTCTTACTATTGTTTTCCAAACCTTCAAATATTCAGTAAAGTTTCCAATGTTTATTTAATAAAGTCCAGAATGCTTACCTTCTTAATGTAGTAGCTAGTTAAAGTGTTTTTGAGAGCTTCCCAAAACCTAAATAAACTTTAATTTGATTGGACCTGTGACAAGAACTTAACAAGGCAGCACAGAGTAGTCAATCCAATGATCGAATTGCCCCATTTTACGAAGACTCTAAGTTTTTCCTCTGACTTGGATTTTTGTGGGAAATACAACCTATATCGGCCTAATTTTAGTCTGGAGAAAGGAGCGTTGTCTTGTTCCCACACTGACTGCTCCCACGTCTCATTGGGAGAAGCTGAGTGCATGCCGTCACAACTCACACACAGGAAAACACCTAGTGCGTGGCTATTACGTGCCAGGCGATTTTCTAAGTTTGGGAATACAAAATGGGAAAGATAACATCGAGAAGCTGAGTGCATGCCATCACAACTCACACACAGAAAAACAGTGCGTGGTTATCATGTGCCAGACAAATTTCTAAGTTCTAGGAATACAAAATGGGAAAGATAACATCCAAACGAAGACAGGACTGAGGACAGGTGAGGGAGCATGGGGATATCTGGGGAAAAGCACTCCAAGCATGAAGATCGGCAACTAGCAATACCCTGAGGTGAGATGTCCACCGGCCTATTAAGGGGGCCTCTGGACAGGGCCCAGTGGGGGAGGGATGGAAGGCAATAAGTTTAGAGATATCAGGGGACAAATTTGGTGGGGCAGTTATGGTACTTGTAGATGTATTAGCGAATGTTCTCCAGAGAAACAGAACCAATAAGCCGTGTGTGAGTGTGTGTGTGTGTGTGTGTGTGTGTGTGTGTGTGTGTGTGTGTCTGTATGTGTGCGTGTGCTTACGTGTGTGTGCATGTGTAGAGAGAGATTTATTTTAAGGAATTGGCTCATATGATTGTGCAATTGTGGAGGCTGGTAAGTCCCAAATCTGCAGGGTAGGCTGGCAGACGAAAAGCCGAGGAAAAGCTGCAGTTTGAGGTGAAGGCTGTCTGCTGACAGAATTGTCTCTTTTTTAGGGGAGATCAAGTTCCTCTTAAGGCCTTAAACTGTCTGGATGAGTGCCCCCTACATTATGGAGGGCAATC